TGAATGCCCCAAGCAGTTGTTAGCTTGGCTATCCAACTATTTTACCGATAGGGTACAAACCACTAGATTGGGGAAGACCACATCGAATCCCTTAGTCGACAACTCCGGGGTCCTCCAAGCAGCTGTGCTATTCCCATACTTATTTTCTACTTATGTTTGTGATATTCCCTGTGTTTCTCCCGCACGAACTTTGAAATATGCAGATGACGTCGTGTTGTGCCAACCCAATTCTTCTTACTTTGATCTGAGCTCTTTCACCGATAATCCTGATCAAATTCGGTCATTTTCCTCCTCATCTGGGCTAAGCCTGAACCCCAGTAAATGTGTTGAGTGTTTATATAGTTTTGCTCGCTCTCCATATTCGACAGACACCACAGTGATTAATAACAATCCTTTATCCAGGGTGAAGTCTGTCAAATATCTTGGTGTACCAATAGATAGCAACCTTAATTGGTCAACCCACATCCACAACTGCATTGGTAAACCGCGGCGCCTTTCACTTCAAATACGAAAGCTCAGGCAGTTTCGCGCATCCCAGTCAGTTATTTCTGCCTTTGTTTATCAGTGTGTTTTCCCCATCTTACTCTACTGTTTCCCAGTTATTTTTCCTGGTTTACTCAAACAGGATTTCAAAGTTTTACCCCGCGGTCTAACCATTATTAGTCGTGTCTCTTCTATTCCTGTTAATGAACTAGCCGTGATGCTTTCAGAGTATCACGTAATTTCCTGTGTGAAATTTGCTGAGAAGATTCTCACAGATCCTGAACACCCATTGCATGCAGAACTGACAGTTTGTCGTTCCCATCATTCGACACGCTCCCGATTCCGCCAAATTTCATCTCGAATTAACGCATACCGCAATTCACCCAAACCGTATCTTGCTCGTCTACTCATAAACAAAGAGCGGACAATAAGTGAACTTTGTCTTAACCTTGGATTGTGAAATGTCCCCGTGCCTGTAAAACATTTCTCCCCCTTGATTATGTACATTGTGACGGTTAGCGTGTATGGTTTTTCAACTGAAATGTGAGCTCCAGTGCTTGCAAAAGTTACACACAATACCGGAAAAGACTGCTTTGAACAGCGTGTACCAGATGAGTCACATTGTAATGTTTACGCCTTTAAAACAATCCAATCAAGCATGAGGCATAAACAAATGCCTTCAGACCACAGGACATTTAGAGAAAGAAACGGGGTGGGTGGAGTTGGGAAGATAAACAAAAATAGTTGATGCACCCGGTGAAAAAACCGGCATTAGCTGACTAACGAACACGAAATGAACCGCGGATAATAATGCATTCTCACAACGAGGCTCCAAATGGTCCGATGATTTCCCCACTCGTGTGCATCTCCGGCCAACAATAGATTCCAAGGCAATAAGAAAAACAAACCGGGGAAAGGGAATACATGATTTTCTGCCAAACAATGCATCGAGTCGCTTGTATTTCTGTACAACGGCTAAGTGTACATGTAGAGTACCGTTAGCAGACAGATCGACGGAACAGAGAATAGCATATCGGAACGAACTAAACGTGGAATCTGGCAATCGTGGTAGCATACACGATCTTCAGTAAGGACGCTATGCTAAAGCTTCAATACAATACAATGGGGGAAAGACCTGTTCAGTTAGTCGAGAACAAATGAGGAGGAAATCGGTTATCATATTCATCGGAAGAATATATGATTACAAAACCGGGAGAGTTGATATGATGAACTGGAAAAAGCTATGCACTAGTGACTGAAAAAAAATGGCTCAGGAGGAATATTTCATTTCACCAGTTCTGTGAAACAAACTTGCACAACATCAACAGCGCACAAGATATTCAACTACGTCATAGTACTATTTTTAAGTAATAGTTTCCAAGGAGAATAGTCGAATACGGAAGCGTGAAATTTGAAAAGCTAATTAGAGCACATCAGTTTACAGCCGGCGATACCCTCAATATACTTTTTATCAAACATCAAATTCAACAAACATTAGTATTGTGGATCGGCGAAACATCATAACTGTTCGGGTACGGAAGCCGGAATCGGAGCACAATGGGTAGCTGAAGACAGGAATGTTAAAACCTACTGCGAGCGAGTTCTTCACCTGTTCCGCATGTTGCTTTTACAATATATCCTAGATAAATAACAGCAAAGTTACGCTTGAACCACTATTTTTCCGGTATGAGTAAATTGTGAAGATCCAAAGGAAACCCGCGTTATAAATAAAAAGACAACAAATAAAAAGGACAGCAATAGGTCGTGTGACAATGGACGAAAGTTGAGCAACACACGAACGGAGCGTGAAGACGAAAATCGGCATTGCTTACCTTCCGTTTTATCAGTTCTAACCGTATCGTTCAGTGTAACCGGTGGATTATCGCGAGACATGCTAGAGCAACCGGTAGCCGAGTGACCCACACTCGCATACAATCCGTCCGACTCAGACTGGGGGTCATCGGACACACGGGACAGGCGTGACATGAGCGGCTCACTTGACGCAATTCCTGGTATCGAGTTGGGCATAGGGGGATCAGTTCCTATTGGGTTGACAGATGACTTGGTGCCCGACGAGGGTGGGTTATATGGCAGGGCTGGAGGAAGACGATTGCTCGCAAGTAAAACCTACAAGTTCCGGAGGTGAGGGAATGCAAAAATGGTGAAAACGGTTAGGGTCAATTGTCACGATAGCTATTCTGTCTGGTTTAGATGACTATGTTGAAACCACATTGTAAAAATTGTTCTAATAAACAACGAGAAAAGTCTTATTTCGAGAAATGTCCTTATATTTGTCTGTCTCGACGCTTCATATCAAAGAATGAATGTTTGATCAATGGTAGGAGTGATTGTCGCGGAGAAGAATAGAAACTAAGTTAGACCAGCAACGGAAAAAGTTATATTGGTGTCCAGAAGCAAAACAACAACAAAAGCTGTATTCACATTGTGACGCAAATCATTAGAAATAATGATTTTTTCATTGGGACATAGACATGAGGAATCTAGCTAGAGCAGCGTGTTTCATCTTGCGCACAATTTTCTCTCATGGTTATTTTTATGTACACCGATGTGTTTTACAAGTCAGGATTAAAACTTGAACCTCATTGTTAAAGCACTGTTTACCTCACGTCTTTCAGATTCTATAAATTTGCATCACGCGCAAACTTTTCAGGAAAGTTTGATGCAATCCTCATTAACACGCAAAGTACATCTACAACAGCCTAATTTGAAGCGAAGTTTTGAAACCTGGAGGGGCAAAAAGGTATTGTCGAACCCCGGTTGACGGCGTTGGTGTGTAAAACATCGTACACAATTAATCAATTATTAATTTAATTACAACCGCGTTTTTATTTAATATCTGAATTACGAATTTCCAAGCGGCGGTGGATCAGCATAATAGGTTGTCAGGCGGTTTTGTGCAGCGACTAAATGGTATAGACAACTGGGCATAAACCAGTGGTTGGATTCCAGCTCACGGAGACTGGTGGAGGCCGTATTTAACTGTATTCGGACTACAGTCTGTGGTAGTACACACGGAAACCACGAATAAGCACTGTTCGCTCGATTATTATTGATGTGCTATTACAATTGAGATAAATAAAAAAGACTTTGAGGCGGTTATTGAAGACTGTAGCAATGTAAAAATGAAATAGAAGAGCATCTGTGCCCTTTTTACCTTTTAAATTTATTTTACATAAACCGTGCATAAGAAATAGATAACAGCACCGATTGAGGGAGAGTCAACTCACATTCGGATCCTGATAGTCTGAACCACTTGGGACCGGTGGGAGTTCACAGTTTCGGTGCGAATTGCTCTCTTGGCTGCAAAGCGAAAACCAATGCAACAGTGAACAAGTCAGCACACACACACACATCGTGTGAACGAAATGCGAGGACTGAACAATGAATGCATAAACGACATAAAAACTCGGACGAATCCGAACAAATGTGATGAAATTGCCATCGAAATTGGTGTGTTATGTGTCTCCACGAGACTGAAACACCTGAATGTCTACTTTACATATCAACTGTCAGAAATCGCTATTGATTCAGTTCAGTGATACGCTTCCGTTTGTTTTGTTTGTTGGACGTGACAGGTAGGCATGCTGTCGCATTGTTACCCGAGTTCCCGTAACAAATAGGGGCTGAAACAAACAGCCGGCGAGTAAAACACGCGAGAAAATTTAGAAGCAAAGGATAAAGAATTCGTACTTGGTTTGGAAAATTTACCAGTTTGAAGTATTTAATTGGGTTAAGTATAGTTCAATCGCACGGATAAATGACAGAGAAGGGGAGACTGGTGTATGAACGCGGTAAAGTGGAGGTGATCGATGCGGGATTGTGTGGAAAGTAACAATCACAAATTTTAAATGTTTCGCATTTTCAATTAGAATTCATAAGTTGGGTTTATTTCAAATGAGTTCAGACTGTGTGCCAAAAAATCATGGAACAATGATCTTTATATCAAGAAAAAATATCAATGGTTCGCTCGTAGGCGC